CATCGATAATCCCAGCAAAGTATGTGATATAGGAAAATGCCTGACCTTCCTTGAAATGCACATCTTCCTCTCGATCCAATGGCGCTCGCGGCAATGTGGCGTACTGTTTAACGTGTCGAGATTACGCGCTGCATTGTTATGTTTCGACTTTGCTGGGGGTGTTGATAAGACCTAGGCGAGGTTAAAACTGAAGTCTACTCTGGAGGAGAACACCTTTTGAGAAAGCAAGGCTATGTAAAATTCAATGGAAGGCATCAGCTTTATTCATATGATTGTCGGAAAATTCAACTACCCGTCCTTCATCAACTTAAACATAATAAGGTGAATACATCTCATATTAAATATTATGCTTACAACAATTTTTTCTGTAGTCTTCATAACATAGTGTTCAGTAGAGAAATTTCTGACTCCCATCTCAAGTTACACATTCAGTTGAAGGGATTTTTAGCCGGAGCAATACGTTGATTCCCAATTAACATTGAATCTGTCGGGTGTTCATCGTTGTGATTTGGGATTTCATGACGCATTTCGGCAAAAGCCCCAACTCTGGAATTTCTTGAGTGCAGACGTCATTGGATTGATAGACCAAGAAAAGTTGCGTTTTGAGCAATCTCTTGTTTTATAATTGTTGAGCTTACTTCCATTTCGAGCGAAAGCGTTTGGTGAAGAGATTCCAAGGTCGATTCCACCAGAAGACAAGGGTGGAGTCTTCTTGACCAGCTGTCGATTTGTTTTACTGGAACGTTCATGCTGACGCTGTTTCCGAGGTGATTTCCTTCGATTCCGGTGAAAGGTGCTAAGCTTTCGTCCGTCATATGACGAGATGTAGAGTATATATACAGCTTTTCAGGGATGAGCCGGTGGGTTTTCTTGATTCGTTAGCCTTAATTTGATTGTGACGAGGATACCTTGTTCTGATGATGTCCATCATATGACGGACGAAAGCTTAGCACCTTCTCACCGCAATCGAAGGAGATCACCTCGGAAACAGTGTCAGCATGAATGTTCCAGTAAAGCCAATCGACAGTTGGTCAAGAGGAATCCGCCGTCGTCTTCTGGTGTGATTGACGTTCGAATCTCTTCACCAAACACCTCCACTCGAAATGGAAGTAAGCAGACCAAGTGTTGTCAAACCTATCCTGCTTTTCACGCAACCAGGATAGCCTCATTTTTAGACATTTTAAGCTAACTGATTAGCGATTCCTTGACTAGACCGTCATCTTTATCCTATTGCCTGGTCATTATTTCAAGTTTAGGTGAATATACACTGTCCCAAAGCAATGGTCTCATGGGAATTGTGAATCAGTCTGAAGAAAGTTTAGCATGAATTTGTAAGCGAAGAAGACGAAGTCGGATTCCTCTTGACCGTCTGTCGATTGGCCTTACTGGAACATTCTTGTTGACGATATTTCCGAAGAAATTTCCCTCGATCCCTGTAAAAGTATGGTGAGATTTCATCCATAATATGACGGACATTATTAGAGCGTAGCATTATCCTTATAGCCATATTCACGCTAACTCATCGTGTCATACCCAAATGCTGTATATATACTCTCTGGTTAAGCTCTTTGATAAAAAATAAAGCGATTTGGTTGGCACAACTCATATGACAGCCTCGAAGCATGTTGATCATCTTGTCTGTCTGTGTAAGTGTTTGCATGTGTTTGAACATGTACTAAACCAGTATTGAGGGCTCAAAGTAATTAGAACCGAAAACGTAACGTAACGTCTGTTCTCGTTCATCAAGGCTTACTGACCATACATACATATACATATACATATTTTTACCCCTTTGATTTTGCAAAGTCGGAGACACGTTTGTTTATGTTGATGAGCTCATTGTCTTCGTATGAGAGAAAAAGTGTGGACTAAACATACATAAAAGTGGCAGTGATTAGAACCAAGACAAAAAATATTAGTTGATTCGTCTCCTTTTATCAGGCGGCTCAGCATCCTCTCTATCATTGAGTCTATTATTAAGCACAGATAATTCTTCTCTATCTTCATGCCGATATTCCTTACATTCAATTTATTGCTTATTCGGTTTATTTTGATCACCTCTAATTCAATGTTTAGCCTCAGACGCATCACATAATCAGCAAATCGAGGAATATGGGACTATTCAATATTACGTCAAGTTTTTACCATGTGCTTTACTGGGTCTTATTTTTGAACCCAACAATCTCTACAGGCACTTTTGTGCTTAACCAACCTTCGTTGAATGGGACGAAAAGTCCCTTCAATATAAACGCGAGCACATGGACATATTATGTCATAAAAAATTCATCTGGATATTGGTTCAAATATTCAGAGACGACAAAGTCTTATCCTCATTGAGAATTTGTTTTTATATTTATTTTATCATTGCATACCACACTCTGTATGGGATTGTTAGTCTAACAAATCAGCTTCACAATCTTGTTCATTATCTACTGAGAGTCTGAAAAGATATTCAAATAAATTAAAATGACCTCTTCATAAGAAATGTTCGGAGGCTTTTGAAAAAGTTATCATCTTCAAAAAAGCCAATTCATCGTTCGTTGAATATCTTACAAAAATGCTATGAAAATCGCTGTATGTATTTCGGAAATGGCGTATTGACCTTCGAGTCGTGTATAGGGTCAACCCTTGGTTGTCACTATTGGGCAGCGTTAATCATTCTGCGAACCGATCCTTTTGACCTGATTCAAGTTACGTATATACGAGCTGTATTCACCCCATTTAGTTCAAGCTGAAGCAGGACTGACAGTTAACTTTTCTCATAATCTAATGAGTAGGCCTCATGTCTGCATTGAATTTCACATTGCCTTTTCCCCTTAAGTTATCTCATTTGGACCAGAATGGTCTGAAGTTTCGATTCGCCTGAACTGGTCTCATCGGCACCCTCCGCGGCACTTGAACCCACATTTTGGTAGTGCAGCCTATAATCTCAATACATTAATCACTGCGTCACATTTCAGGGAAAGGCATGCATTTTCTCATACATCACATTCTGTGGTGGGATTGCCGATAAAGCAAAGATCTATTTGATATCACAATCAACCGCATTACTTATTTTTTGTTTATAAGTAGTCACCATTACGTGAATTGGTTAGTCGTGTTGTCAGGTCAACCACGAAGCATTCGGCCCTTCTGACGTCATTTAGAGTCATGATACTGTTTAGCATCGGCCAATCTGCTTGAGGCTGTCCTGGACGCTTTGCCTAGGACATTGAACAGGATTGAGTTTTCGCGGGTGCCCTGACAACACAATCAAGGCACACATTTGGATGATTGAAATGAGAAGTTGTGATAGGACGGCAGTGGGATA